AATTTGCCAAACAAATAGAAGAGCAAGACAGCATCTGCCCTCTAATAGATGACACATGAATTAGAGGAGACGGTAGATCTTGGAAGGCTTGCCTCCCCCTGAGGTGGTGACCTCTTTTGTAATAGTGCCCTTTGCTGGTGGGAACGGGTTCAAAGGGCAGGGTTCCATATCTCCTTCCTATACACCCCTTTTCTGTGATGGAAAGGCCTAGGGAGGGTCTTAGGATTCACTGGTAGACCAGGTAAGAATTCCCCAGCGGGGTAGAGCCCTTGATCTGGCTAGACCCTATGGAAAAAAAGCATAAATATTTTCAACATTTTTAAGATCTTTTGATGCTAGGAACCTGTTCAATTTTTCTCTTGTCTCACTAATGCCTTGCACGGCTCCCAACAAGTAATGATTAATAAGAAAACAGTTGTTGAATACAATGGAATGAAATGGGCTAACAAAATCTGGGGGCTTTGCATTTCAAATGATGGTAATGATGTCATTCCACAATTCTCCTAATAAGATGCTGAGGACAAGATGTTAAGGGGGCGGGCTTAGCCGCTCTGTCCAGCTTCCTTGAAGGTCCATGGCACACAGAAGGAGCATGCTGATGGAAGAAACAGACTCGGTCTGCGACTGCTCACAAAAGACCCCTCCCATGCTGTTCACAGCAACTGAACAACTGTGGTGTTTACATAGCAACGCAGGAATCCTGAAAGGGGACAAGCTTCTTGACTCTGGGAACCGCTGCTCCAACGCAGTCTGGAGGCCACAGGAAGGGACTCTTACTAACAGGCCCAGAGAAAACAGGCCTTCCCCAATGGCCTTAAAAATGGCAGGGGCTATACTTTTCACAGACCACAAATAGAAGATGCTGAGACATTCCTCATCGGATCAGCAGACATCACCAAGAAAATCCATTTCAAAGACTTAACAGTCGCAAGGAAGAGGTTTTCTATACAGTTTTCTGTAGTGAGAAGTATGTGTGGCTACCACAGAAGAAGATGGAATGCCACTGGTGGTGCCATCATCAGTTTTGTCTTTGTATTCTCATAACGGAGCACAAAGTCTAGCACATAGCAGGTGGGTGCTTGATCGAGGGAGCGTCCCCAGATTCCACCTCTGACACATCGGCCATGTGATATAATGAGCAAATCCTTTCACCTTTCCAAGCCTCATCTGTAAAATCAGAATTAACCATGACTTCGGAGGCCTAATGGGAAGTACTACTCCTTCTTTCCTTTCAATAGAGAAGCGGTGGACTACAGATACTGAATGAGGCATACATTGTCAAATATGGTTGGGACCTACATTCCTGAATGCCAGCCAGCCCCAAGGAGGAAGCTTCTTTAGCAGTTCAAGTACAGGGTTCTACTTGAAAGACAGTGATTTGTGATCATCCCCAGCTACCTCCAGGGAAGCCCTGTGACTCCTACAAAGGTACTGGGGGGGCTGATTGATCCATTGATGGAGTTCACCCCCAAACAGAAAAGGATGAAATCTCTGTTTCGTCCGGCTGAAGCTCACAGGGCAAGACGCTGCCATGAGAGTTCATACCAGGAAACGCAAATCTGAAGGCAAATGAAACCAATGGCCAAACTCTGAGGTCCTGAACATAAGAAAGCTGAAGGTTCATAAGAAGATAACACTTTCCTATGCCCATGGGCGATGTTTTTCTCGAGATCCTCTCTTCTCACAGGGTGGATATAATTTACTTAGATTTTCAAAGAGCTTTTGATAAAGTTTCTCACAAGAGACTATTATTGAAACTTGGTAACCATGGAGTGAAAGAGAAAGTCATATCAATGAATTAAAAATGGCCTGAGAGAGCGAGCAAGAAAGAAGCAAAAAAGGAGAGCTCAGTGGCCAATTCTCATTGTGGGGAAAGGTTAATTACAGAGGGCTCTCGGGACTCAGCGCAGAGCTCAAGTTCTACTTAACCAGTGACCGGGAAGGGGAAAGGCCAATTGGCATTCCCCGCCATGCCCTGAGGATCTGCCCCCCACACAGAGCTCCCATTGATTCAGAGAGAATCTGGCACACGGGGAGATGCACGGGGTAAGGAGGAGAATTCAAAGCCAGCAAGGCCAGAGGAAACAGGTGAAGGAAGATGGGTTCAGAGGGTCCTGTGGAGATCCCTGAATGGGAAAAGGGAAGAGCGGTAAAATATAAGAGCCGAGCCGCGTTTTCTGGGAATGTTTGCACAGTGATCTATAAAAACATATGGTGTTTAAAAAAAACCCAACAACAACAACAACAAGTTATGATCTGAACAAAGCCAACTTGTTTGCTCACCCAAGAGAAACTGAAGCTGCTACTCGGTTCACAAAATTCACCGAGCTCTGCAGTACAACAAAACTAAATATACCAAGAAGATCTCCCAGTGTGGATGTGTAGAGGTCATTCATTCATTCATTCATTCATCACTCAATTCAACAAGTATTTATTAAGCACGTGCTATATGCCAAGTCCTGCATTAGTTGCTAGAGATACTGAGATGCTATAGTCAGTCAACAGCATCTATTAAGCTCCTACTATGTGCCAGGCATTGTGCTAAGAGCAGGGGACATAAAAAGAGGCAAAGGCAGTCTATAACCTCAAGGAATTCACAATCTAATGGATTAATATAGTCCCTCTTTGTCCTCAAGAAGTTTATACTCTATTTCCAGAAAATAACATATGCGGAGAAATAAATACAAAATATATTCAGAGTAAATGTCTCTGTACCAAGGTTTACTGTCAAAAGCAAAAATATGGGTTGGAGTCTGAGCTGTGGTTGGGAAATGACCCTAATTCAGAGAGCCCTCACCATTGGCAAAGAGGGGATAACATGAAGGATCCTGCATAAGAAATAACATTGGAGAACGCTTAAACAGAACCAGTCAATCTAAGAGACAGAGGGAGAAGGGAAGGCATTCCAAGAATGGGGCACAACCTGAACAAAGGACAAGAGGGAGACTGTAGGGAGAATAACACAGACCAGTTTGGACAGAATGTAGAGTGTGCAAAAGGAAGCAATATTTAACAAACCTACAAAGGTAGGTTAGCATCAGGTTGGGAAGAGTTTTGAAAGCCAAAGAGAAAAGGTCATACTTTGTCCTTGACATAAGGGGTGACTTCCTGAGCACAGGACTGGCCTATGTGGCTGCCATCCGAGACTCTGGCAGAATCAGGGTTATCAATCAATCAGCAGTCAACCAGTTTATTATTAAATGTTTGGTTTGGGATTAGAAGAGGGTTGTTTCAGAAATCCACAAGAGAGGATACTGATGGAATACTAAAAGTATTGCCTCAATTTTGAAGTAACCGTGGAATATATTTCAGAATACATCTCCTTCTCCCGATAGAGAGATGGCAGTCGAAGCAACAGTCAGGTAAGGCCATGGTGCAGGTAAGTTTTCTTTGTGTTTTTTCTTTGTTGCATGGGAGAATGCTGGGGGCCAGGGAGAGGAGAGGTTGGAACATACCAGGAAATGACTGTGGAATTGTTTTGTTTTCTTTTTTAAAAGTATCAATACTTCATCTCCTTTAAAAAAAGTGAAAGAAAAAGAAGAAGAAAATGTTTCATGTTTTGGAATGCAATTTTAAGACTGACTATCCTTTCCTTTTTGGAGTGAGTCAAAGCTCTAGAAATTGATGTTCCAAGCTCCTCCTCCTCCTTTACATGACTAAATTAGGACATGAAATAATTAGATACTCTGATCAGTGCTAATCTTTGGTGATTCCAAAGACAATTCAGGTTCTGGAAGTGAAAGACTCAAGCTTGTCATCCAGAAATGGTTAATCAGAAAAGTGGCAGTTACTGAAACGCCCAAGAAGCCAGCTTTTTCAGATGAGCCATGCTAACCACCGGATGCCACTGTAATGGCTCTGACCTAAGAAGACCCAGGTGGGTACCCCGCCTCTAACACTCACTGCTTGTGTGACCTTGGGCAAGGCCTCAGTCTCCTTATCTGTAAAATGATGGGGTAGAGCCAGGTCAGTGGTGGCAGACTCAAATAGAAGCAGGGCTGCTAAAGGATCCACGAGGGCCCCATTCTGACTTAGGAGATCACATGTTAAATTATCTACGGTCTATCATGTTTTTATTTAATTTGCTAAATATTTCTCAATTCCATTTGAATCGGGCTCAGATGCTCTTGGGATTGAATGCATTATCTGACAAACCTGATTAGATGATCAATGAGATCTCTGCTAGGTCTACAGAAATGATTCCTTGCACCCGGTGCACGACTTTTTCTTTGACCATAATTGTGCAAACAGTAGGGATTTAGACAGATTAGAATAGTAATAATGATTGGCATTTATAGAGTACTTTAAAGTTTGCATTCACCACCTTATTTGAGACCCTTAACAACCCCACGAGATGGATGCAATACCTATTACTATCCTCATTTTATTGATGAGGAAACTGAGACACAGAGATATTAAGTGACTTTCCCAAGGTCACATGGCTTAAATGTGTCAAAAATACAACTTGAACCCAGTCTTGCTGGCTCTGAAGCCAGCCCTTGAATCCTATACCTACTCATGACTGCTATTCACTGTATATTCCCTGTATGTCTCTCTTTTCATCAGCCAATTCTGTGAAACAGCTCATCAGAGAGATTTTTCAAGAGGATCTATTTAGGCAAAGAAATATCACCAGGCACCAAGTAACTCTTTCTCATATTCTGCCTTTAACTATGCCTGATCTTAATGGTGCGGCCATTTCTCCCCCCAGTACAGATCAGTCCTTCTTTTAAGGTGCGGCCCGTGGAAAACTCATCTTCATGAGTAGTGGAGGTTGTCTTCTGCTGTGGAAGAAGCACCTGGCAAGGAGCTCCCTGAATGGAGCTGTGCAGGCTTCTGGATGGAAGCCCCTCTCCTGGAGTTTGAGCTCTGCTGACCCAGTCTTCAGGAACCCAGGATTATCTCCAAGCCATGAAAGTAGGACGTTAGGAGAGGAATTCCCATAGTCACCCATGAACAGATCAGAGTACCATACCACTCCTGATGCACTTACTACTCACCGTGCTGATAGTGTTGTAATGAGCTCTCTTCTGTTCTGGACCCGAAGATAGTTAGTTTTATATCTGGAATCATTGATCAATGTAGGCAAATTCAGGATCTAAAGGAGACACACCGAAAAAAAAAAAAAGAATTGTCTTTGTTATTTAAAGCTTTATTCATAAATCCTTTTACAAAAGCTAAAGCTTAGGGCCAACCCCCAATAAAACTAATACCACCTTCACAAGGTCTCCGCTCCCCCAGGTAAGCAGTCAGAAGGAGTGGATCTTCCACAGGTGTGGAAGACTGGACTTCAACCAGCCTCCTCACATTGCCATTTGGGTTATGGGAAAAGGAAGGAAGGAAGGGGTGACTAGTCCCTCCCAAAGCTCAGCTAAAGGGCAGCAAATGCCTGACTGGGATTCCCGCATGATTTACTCCATAAATGAACATGGCCCTCTAGACTTGGAATGTTATGTTGAGTTTGGTGGCAAAAAAAACCCTATTATCTCGACAAGGAAAATGAACTTCAGATGAGCCGGGGGTCAAGCAGCCCCACAGCCCACGGGGCCCTAGTACCAACATGAGGCGAGGTCTGTATTGTGCCTTCACATGATGGCTCTCTGCTAACCTGACCCTTTTGCCCCTTTGTGTCTCCATGTTGCCACAGATCCTACTCTATGGGGAACCACACGGTAGTGCTGTCTTCTCTCCAGGCCCCAACATGCACGTTTGTGAGAGAGAGAGACAGAAAGACTGAGTCATCCGTGCCTTTTGGGACTTGCTCCATGGGGCACAGGCTTCCCAGGAATGCTACGATTGATTCTTCAGGCCTTGATGGAAGCCATGTCTTTAGAGAAACTCTTTTCTTTGCCCTTTCTTTCACATGCTTTGGTTTGTGAAATAGTCATGGAGACAGAAAAGAAGCCACATTGAAAGGGAAATCAAGACTGGTGAATTTTCATATTGTCAAAGACACACAAGAGGCCCTGTCCAGCTCCTATAAGTGCACCTGCACATGCCCATGACACCGCCATCCTATGAGCAAGACAAACCACCCATTTCTGCAATGTCTCACACACACACACACACACACACACACACACCTCAATCACACACCACATATCTACATCTGCTTCCACAAATATAAACATGTTACGGCTCCCAAAGGCAGCATGTGTAGCTGTGTGAACCTGGGCGAGTCACTTAACCCCAATTGTCTTAAAAAATTTTTTAAAAAAAGCATGTGACCTCACGCATGCAGAATCAACCTTGGAATCAGGAAGTCATGGACCCAAGTCCTCCCTATGATGAATGTTTGCTGTTTGGCCATGAGAACGTCACTTAACCTTGAAAGGCACTAAACATTTGACCTAGCTCAAAAGTCAAGTCAATAAGCACCGTTGAGCACCTGCTACATACCAGTGGCTGGCTGTTCACTTGCTAGATATGTTAGCACGGGTTCTTGTGGCACACGGGCTAGACTAGATGGCGACGGGTTCATTCCAACTCTCAACTCTGTGTTTCTCTGTGAATGTCTCAGTGCATGCAGGCAACGTTTTAAGATCAATTGTAAGTGAAGTTGCCAATGCGCATTGGTGGAGGATGGAGTTTCCACACTGGGAGAGCCCTAGATTGATGAAATCACAAGCCTGGACCAAAACAAACATACCAGAAAGGTTTGTTGAGTCTCTCCAAGGTATTAGGATGAGGTGCTAAAACACAGGGGAGGCTGTGCGGACTCAGGTTTGACACCCCCCAAAAAAAGTGTTTTATGAAAAAGTTCTGTGCTTGTGTGCCCACTGATGTTTACAATCCCACTCCTATCAAGAGCAAAAGGATGAGCTGGCGTCTTGGACATGGGGGAAGTGAGCAAAATCTGGGCCAAGAGCACAGATGGCAAGCAGCACATGCCCCCCCAGAAAATCCCCTGAGCCACAGTCCCAGGCATGCAGGGTCACAAGGGTGATGAGCCCAGACAGAGACCTAGGTCTAGGGACTCGTGGCACTAATGCTAGACAAGTCTAGGGTCCCTCGCCTTTGTCCCAGCCTGCTCCAGTCACTCAGCTATGGCCCACGCATTTTCCTTAAATGTGCCCTTGAGGATCAAGGAACCTGGAACTGAATAAAACGAGACTAAGCATTTCTAGGTAAGCAAAGTCACACCTTCCACAGATATTTCTCAGAAGGCATTTTGGAACTCGTGTGCCCCTTCCAATGTGGTATACCCCATCATCTGAGGTGCTCTGCCTCACTCCAACAGTGAGGTATGCTAGCTAATCCCCCTCCCAGAAAAAAATAGGATTTTACAGTTGAGGAAAATGAGGCAAGTAGAAGTAAAATGACTTGTCCAAGGTCACACAGCTAGTGTCTGAGTTTGTATTTGAACTCGGGTCTTTCCAAGCCTAGCGTTCTATCTACTAAGTCATTCCTTATCACCCAGGATCATACAGCAAGTATGGAGGATCACAGATTTAGGGCTGAAAAGGACCTCAAAGACCAGTGATGAAGAGGATAATGATGAAAATGATAATAGAGATGATGATGATGATGATGATGATGAAGATGATGTTGATTGTGATGAAGATGATGATGATGGTGATGAAGATGATGATGATGATGGCATTTCTATAGAGCTTTAAGGTTTGCAAAGTGCTGTACATGTTATTGAGATCCTCATAACAACATCGAGTAGCAAATACTATCATCTTTATTTTACAGATAAGGACACTGAGGCAGAGAGAGACGAAGTGACTTGACCAGGGTGACACAGCTAGCAAAGGGCAAGATTCAAACTCAGATCTTCCTGACTCGCTCTGTGTACTATGCCACCAAGATGCCTAAGACAAAAGCACAGTAGGCCCTGCCCTCAGTGGGCTTACGTTCTACTAGGAGATACAGGTAAATACAAAATGTATTCTGTGCTAACTTAGTACAGTGGAAGTCAGTTAACAAGCACTTATTAAAGGGTTTTTTATATGCCAGGCACTAGACTGGCATACCCTGTGCCAGGCACTGTGCAAATACTCACAACTAGGGAGCACCTAGAAAGGGCTCTTGAAGGGGTTCGGTTTTGGACAGAGGTGGAGCTACCAAAGGGAGGAAGGGCATTGAGAACAGGCAGGAAATGGAATACCATCCTGAGTCAGTTTGACTGGAACCTACAGTCCACAGGGGGTGGGGTGGGGCAGGGAGTGACAGCTCCGTCATCCGAAGCCAGACCGTGATCCATCTCAGTGCCAACCAAGAGTCTGTATCTTATCCAAGAAGGCAGAGGAAGACACTGGAGCTTTGTGAGCAGAGCGGGCAGTAATGAAGTGGGGCCGCGCTTTAGGAATCTCAGCTTGGCCGCTCCGGGGAGGATGGACTGGAAAGAGGAGAGAACTGGGGCAGGGAGGCCAAGGAACGGTGAAGAAGACCTGAACTCAGGTGGCCATGATGAGAAAAGCAGAGAGATTGGAGAGAGGGTCCAGAGATAAAGCCTGTGTGCATAGACACCGGGTCGCACCCCGCACAAGGAGGCATGGGAGGATCACACCAGGAAAGGAAGAGAAGCCCCCTCCCCGGGAAGCGACTGCACGAAATACTCCCCCAAAAGAAGGGAGCTGCTTTAGTTCATGATGATATCATTCAGCTATAATGTCCCTTAAATTAAAACCATCTTTACATCCGTGTTTGACAAAAAGCTTTTCAACAACAACAAAAAATTAAAGACCCAATTTGAATGAGAACAAATCTGACTTAATTTTTTAATCACACGAGAGGCCCTGTGCACTTCTCAGTCCTCTGATTTTCATTGGGCAGGGGGGGGGGGGGGGATTCATGTTCTCAAATGTTATAATATAGAAAAAAAAAAAAAAACATTTTTTTTTTCCCTGTAAGGGAGTCGCTATTTTTCTTTACCATTTCTCCCTAAAGAAATAATGAAGAAAAATGCTGGAGTCCACTTCCCTTTTTCTTCCTCCCCATAAAGGAAAAATAGATCTTGGAAGTCCCATCAGGCATCTTGGAAATGGAACAAGGCTATAATGACTGCGCCAAGCAGCCTGGGAATGGAAAAGAAGTTTCCCAAGAATGTGTGGAGACAGTCTCACAGTTGTGTTAAAACATCGGAAGGAGCATTTATGGGATGGGAGAGGGGCCCTGGGGCCCTCTGGGAGCTGATGAGGCCTCTATTAGCCTAGGCATTTGTTTTAAATATATACGTTTAATGTGCTCATTTGTTTCCCACAGGTTAAATCAAACCTAGTCGTTTATCATCTCAGATATGCAGAAGAGAGGACAACCTAAAATAACAGTCCCTTCTCCAAGGTGCGATTTCTCTTCCTTGTATTTGCACAGACTCTCCTATTTCTTTCAGCAATGATTAAAGATAGAATGGGCCATCACCAATTAAAGTACCAGAATCCCACCTATTGCCCTTCTCTGTTTACTTGATTTCTTCTGTTTATTGTTTTCTTGTATTTCTATTTTGTACATTATGTACAATTTCCAGTAATGCCCCCTCCCATCAAGAGCCATCTCTTGTAATAAAGATTTAAAAGGTGGGGAGGGGCAAAGAGGAAAGCAGGTCAGCAAAACTAACCAACACATAACCCAGGTCTGATATTATATAGTACTATATTTTCCACACCCCACAATCCACCACTTCTGTAAAGAAGGGAGGGAAGTGAATTCTCATATCTCTTCTTTAGGCCAACCTTAGTTATTATAATTTTGCAAAATTCAATATCAATGGTCAAGGAAATGCCCACTAATTATCCTCATAGGCAGGGGAATAGAACAGTTCATGAATTGGAAATCCAGCCTTCCTCGCCTCTCTAGTACCACAGGTCAGGATTGTAAACTTGACCTTACCCCCAGCTCACTGGGAACGCATGGGTGCCCCAGCCTCACTGGGTCAAGATTAGCAACAAAGTCCTTCCACCAATTCAGCTCAACGGCCATGTGGCTGTCTCCTTTTTCAAAGCTGCTAAAATTATTCACCATGAACGTAATGATCTATCCTTCCTCAACAAACCAAAGTTGCCTTCAGGTGGTCCTCCAGAGGTACCTCCAGTTTTATGCTTCTGACAATTCTCTAGCCCAAGGGTAGTCACCTTGCTGAGGTCATGGACCCCT